AAGAGCAGCTTCATTGCTTGTGCCCTGTCCGTTGCGTCATTATGTGGACAGGATGAAGGGATTAAGAAGGAGTAATCAGTTATTTGTTTCATGGGCTAATTCTCATAAGGGTAAACCTATTTCTCGTCAGCGCCTGTCCCACTGGGTGGTGGAAGCTTTTATATTGGGTTATAATAGCATGGGTCTACGTCCTCCAGAGGGGCTGAGGGCTCATAGTACCAGAGGGTTAGCCACCTCATGGGCATTGTTTAAGGGCGTTTCAATTCAAGACATTTGTGCGGCGGCGAGCTGGGCTTCGCCACACACTTTTGTCAGATTTTATAGGTTGGACGTTACAGAGCCTTCGTTGGCACATTCCGTCCTAAGCGTATATTTTAAAAAACACTCGTAAAGAAGTTGTTTTTATTTTTCACATGTCTCCGTTCTATTCTGGGAATAGTGGAGGGCTTGCTTTATTATGTTATCGCACATCACTGAGTTGGTTGACATGCCTGCTTCGGACAGCATATCTGCAAAACGGGAGTTGTCTATATGCCATAGTGAGATACCGAACAAATGTTTGAAAGAGAACTTTAGGTTACTCACGTAACCCCGGTTCTCTGATAACATGAGTGAGGTATCTCACCACACTTCCCTCCTTGCAGCAGCAAGGAGAAGAGATATGCTGAGAATGAAGTAGGGACCACTAGCAGCGATATATATGAGGGAGGCGGGACTCCCGCATCACTGTCATGATTGGACTGTCAACTGACAGACGTGGTGTAATTGGTGCTTCCAGGATTGGTCATGCCCGAGGCGATTTCCATAGTGAGATACCTCACTCCTGTTATCAGAGAACCGGGGTAACGTGAGTAGCCTAAAGTTTGTGTGAAGCAGCATTTACTGCAAACTAAGCTGCTGTGAGATGCTGAAAACACTGGATCATGCTTCAGTGGCGTGCTTCACTCTGAAACTCACAGCTTGTCAGACTATATATTAGGGCTGCCCTCGACTAAGAATTTTTTTGGTCAACTAGTAGTTGTTCATTTTAAGCATTAGTCGACTAATTGCACGTTTATCCTTTAATTGCCTACATAGCCTAATAAGCACTCAAGCACACGCATAAAGCTTGCCACAGCGCACCGGCAGAAGTAGCCTAATGATTATGAATGTGTCAGTGAAAAACAGTAAGGAGACTGCATTAACATTTTAATAATTTGATAAACTAGTGCTTTCTTTGTTTTCGGTTTAAGTGATGAACTCAGCGACACTGACTCGTCATCTCTGCAGTAGTGATGCGCCTGTATTCATGTTTCATACAGATTACATAATCTGAGAATATTTGTTTTCCATTTAAATTGGTTCATTTGAAAGTAGACATTTCACTCTCTCTATATATTTTTTTATTTCTGTAAGGCGAAGATATACACAGAGTTTCGCGCTCAAGTTCACAGACCGAGATGGCTGAAAGCGCATCCTGTTTGCTTTCATTAATTTACAAAAGCACGTTTTGTTGTTATTGTGAGTTTACACAAATAAGCTAAAGTGACACTATAGCGCACATTTCTCTAGGTTAACATTAGATTGAGCGGCCATGTAAAGTTGCTAATACTCACATATTTCAGATGATAAGCCATATTTGAGTTTGATGAATGATAGGCGAGCGTTTGGATGTCCTGCCTGATGTAGGCTACTGTATTATCCTAGACTAGCCATTAACGATCTGTCCGTCACGAACTGAGTGACTTCGCCTGTGGAATTTTTTTTTATGCGACTAATAAAATTTTACGATTAGTCAACTATTAGGGGGCAGCCCTACTATATATTTCCTGTGGTTAAACTGCAGCCCTTGCAGTTTGATAATCGCTCCAACTGGCAGGTAACCCTGTTATATGTACAACCCAACGCGATTCTTACTCGCATTTGGTGCTCGGAAAATTGTTCATTTTGGACCCTAGATGAGATGCTAGAGGTGTTCTACACACAATCCATGCACAAAATACAGACAACTGCTGATTTTTGCTACATTCACAGAAATTCCAACATTGTCTTGGCTGTAAAATGCTTAAATGCACACTTCTCATGAAGTGTCTGTGTACTTGTCAGGTGATTAGCATGTTCCAACACACTGTCCCACGGTTCAAGGTTAAACTCTTCTAGTATAATTTCTTGATCCCCTTAGTCGCTCATCTCTGTCATCACTCTGCTTGGCAAAAGGCAGAAATGGTAAAGCAACTGGCAGGAAGCAGCTGTTTCTGGTGCTACACTGAATCAAGTTTGTGGTGATGTGGGGTAAGGGCTGGTGACCGTATGCAGGTTCATCAAGTGCTTCACTGGTGATCAAGCAGGCTAGATGCAACAGAACAGGCAGTTGGAGAGACCTTGTGGTTAATAGATCCAGTATCTAGCCTTGCATGGTTGGGGATGGAGATGAGAACACTGTGTTTCAGTGTTTGCGAATGTGGCACTATTAGCAGTCATGATCAATGCCATGACAGGCCTAATGAAACGAATAAGAGGCATAATGATAAACAGACAGTATTCTTCATTCAACAGAAAAACATGTGCTTCATGTCAGTGCTACAAACGTGAGCTTCAGTCTCAAACTACTACAGCAGCCACAAGCACTGCATTTGGCACTGGTTTCAATTATGCAGTCTCCAGGTGTGAAGTAGTCTTTGTTTGTGTGGCTCTGTCCAGTATGTGAGAGAATGCAAAGCCATCTGTCCAAAAAACTCAAGCTGAAACACAGTTGAGTCATGTAGAATTACAATGATTGAAACATACAAGCAAGTCAAAAAAAATTAAATAATAATAATCAAGTTTTGGAATGGTCAAGTCAAAGCCTAAACTTAAACCTGACGGATACAGCTAATGTTTAAAAGCCTACAAATGTCACTGAGCTGAAGTGTTTCTTTGAGGGGTGGGCCAAAATTGTAGAAAGAACTAAAGGAAGCATTTGGTTGCAGTTATTGCTGCTAATGGAGGTGTAAGCAGCTTTTCTACTAGATACTAGGTGTTAAAAAACTTTCTTTAATATGTATATTAGTTGAGTTTTCCGTTCACTTTGCGCGTTTATAGGTTTTGGTTAAAGTTCTGATGGAATTCAGTGTAAAAATGTGCAAAAGCACACAAAATCAGAAAGGCCAAACACTTATTTTCAGCACTGTATGCTTTGAATGCACTGTATGCCAAATAAAGTAGAGTAAATGATGTTGGATATATAGTGAGCAGGATGGTTTCAGCACCATGGACAGCTCTGATCGCCTACAGTAAATGATCCAGAAAATTAACCTGTAAAACTCTAGACTGGCATTATCAGTGCATTTATTTCAAGATTTTATGTACGCTGTATAATGTATATGATCCACTACTGCATAAGACAAAGTGGACATATTCAAGTTTTTTTGTATCTATATAGTGGTTAGTGTATGTGGGATGCTGTTAATTCCCATATATAAATAATGTATAAAACAATGGAAGTTTAGGCTACAGTGATAGTATGTAAGCCTACACAATAACCAGCCCCAGATGTTTCTCCTGAAAATTCCTTAGGAGTAAAAAAAAACAGACACAAGACACTCATCTGCGTCAGTGAGTGTAGCGCCACAGCATTAATAAAGGTTGCTCAATTAAATAGATAATTTTCTTGAAGGATTCTGATCAAAGATGTCTGAATTCATATTCAGATACAACTGAGATATGAAAAATATAATTTTTCTTTCCCATGAAGCTACTTCCACACAAACAACAGAGCAATTATACAGCATACATTTCATATACATGCAGACACAAACATGAGCAGCATGGATGAGCACCTTTTGAGTGTTTGCAAATTCACCTTTGGGCTTGTGTAATTCCACTCTAATTCACTCATCTAATCTCAATTAGCAGAAACTAATCCCACAACACAGCCAATGAGAAATCAGAAGAGACGTCACAGTACTCACCAAATCATCTGGCACGAAGCAGCTGTTTGTGATGCTACACTGAATCAGTTTGGTGGTGATGTGAGGAGGAGGCGCTGTGATGTGACTGTATGCAGGTCACTGTGGCGTCAAGTGGTTCGCTGGTGATCAAGCGGGCTGGGTGCACATATCAGGCAGTCGGAGGGGCTGTTGGGGTTTCCAGACCTTGTGCTTAATAGATACAGTACCTAGCCTTCTGAGTTGGGGATGGAGCAGATAACACTGTGTTCAAGTGTCTGCGTGTGTGGCACTATGAGTAATCATGATCAATGCCATGACATGCCTAATGAGATAAATAAGAGGCATAGTGATAAACAGACTGTCTTCCTCAGTCAACAGAAAAACATGTGCTTTGTGTCTGTGCTGCACACACAAGCTTCAGTGTAAAACTACTACAACAGCCACAAGCACTGCAAGCATGTTTAGTTCAGCTGAAGCACAGTTGAGGAATTCAGAATGACAGTGATTGAAACATACAAGCAAGTCAAAAAACAAGAATATTAAAGTTATGGAATGGCCAAGTCAAAAACATACAGTTCACGCTCAAAAGGCCACAAATGTCACTGAAGTTTTATCTATTGAATATAATGAATGCCAAATGAAGTTATGTAAATGATGCTGGCTATGTAGTGAGCAGGATGGTTTCAGCACCATGGACAGCTCCAGGCACCTACTGTACAGTAAATGGTCCAGAAAATGAACCTAGAGTGACATTATCAGTGCATTTATTTCAAGATTTAATGTACACAGTATATGAAAACAATATGATCCACTACTGCATGGATATTAAATAAAACCAGTGGTCTAGAAGATACAAATGAGATACTAAAGAGACCCTATTTCCACTTAAGCAACAGAGCAATTAAACAGCAGACAACTCATATACCTGCAGACACAAACATGAGCAGCATGGATGAGCACCTTTTGAGTGTTTGCAAATTCACCTTTGGGCTTGTGTAATTCCACTCTAATTCACTCATCTAATCTCAATTAGCAGAAACTAATCCCACAACACAGCCAATGAGAAATCAGAAGAGACGTCACAGTACTCACCAAATCATGATTAGTTGAGTTGGAATCGTCTTCAGGAAAGGGGATGTAAACAGCTAAGGCCACACAGTTGGCAAATATTGACAGCAGTATAAAGATATCAAAAGGTCTGGAAATAACATGTTTAAGGAGAAAAATGATAGCAGTATCATCCATTTCACAAATGATCCCAACCAATCAAACTTGATTATAAAGTAAAATTGCAATCTTTTGTGTTTAAAACTCTCAAAGCTGTAACCTATGTCATGGCAGAGATATTATGTGGCATTTTAGGCTCAATTTTATGTCATTTCTGTGTGACTAGTAATTGTTTCCAAACATTCCCACCACCCAATACTGGTCAGTCCCACTGATAGTCCTGCCCCAAACTCACATCAGAAGCTGACATGTCGGGCATGGTGAACTCCAAATGGCATTTTGGTTTCTTTGAAGGGCATTGCGGCCTCCCGCGGCATTGCGGTCCTTTTGCGCCACAGGAACACAGGAAGGGTCATTTTAAATCAAAGTGTGTAATATAACCCCTTAACGTGCCCTCCCTCAAGGCCATTAATGAGGCACATGCAATGGTCAGTTCAAGGTAATTCAAGTAATTTTACTGTTTAAGTTCACTTGACCCAGAGTGACGAGTCGTTTTAAAATCAGAAGGCCGAAATTCAAAGTTTCAAAAGGTGTAAAAGAATGAGGAAATGGCGCCGTCTTTCATTGCTCCCTTGTTCCAGTTGGCCACACTACCAGGCCGTCAATGTAAGTAAGAAAATAATTCTTAATTATTTTAAGATACTTTACTTAATTGGCTTGCCAGGTTAAATAATAAACAAACAAACATTATGAGACACAATTGCACTGCTCCCTCCAAAGTCCCCACTTCAAGGGCCATCCTTCGGAGTGAGCAGAGCACAGGGATTCTCAGTTCCCACTGGAATGTTGTTCTGCACTCGTATGATTTTCCTTCTTCTGTGGAACACCAAAACAATATTCTTTTTCTTTACATAACAAAAGTCAATGGGGTTCAAAAGTCTCGCTGACTCCATGAAGTTGGACCCCAATAACATCAAGCCTTGTTGGCGTTTTGTGTGTTTGGCAGAGGAAAGAAAACTATCCGGCTCATTGGAAATACGTGCCTCTGCCTACGTTTCTGCAGAACTTGTACCTATCATACGAAACGCTGCAGTTTCCAGTTGAAATTAACACTAGAGGCAGTAAAACTCTGACTCTTATTCCTTTATAACTATATTATAACATTATAACTTTCATTCCTTTTCACACAAATTATGATTTACAGTGCCAGAGTTTCTATTAAGAAAGTCTAATTTTCGCACACACACTTGCAGAATATTATGTTATGACCTCAAAACTATTTTAACATGCTGCACGATTTGAAAACTGATATTTTTGAACATTAGCATCACATATAGAGCTTCGTATGTATGGGTTTTCTAACACAGTAGGTTGCTCAGTGGCTCACGCGATACGGCGCTGCACTTGAGAGGTGAAGCACTCTGGTACGAATCCTGAGAAACTATGGTTCCCGGACATTTGAATTCTGAACTGCTGCAGTGCGTGCTTGAAGCAATGTAATAAAAACGCTGCAATACATACCTGTATCAACACAATAAAAACGTGGCTATGGTCATGTATTGAATGTGCATTTTAACTGCCGCCAAATGTACAATAAGGCACATAATATCTGTGTTTCAGAAACGTCACCACAAGCATCTGTTTTCAATGAGCCTGGGTTGAAAGAAAACCATTTACTTAAATTTTTTACTATCCTTTTAAATCAGTGGTCTCAAACTCAATTCCTGGAGGGCCACCACTCTGCAGAGTTTAGCTCCAACCAGCTCCAAATCACACCTGCTTGGAAGTTTCTAGTGATCCTGAAGACCTTGATTAGCTGATTCAGGTGTGTTTGATTAGGGTTGGAGCTAAACTGTGCAGAGCTGTGGCCCTCCAGGAATTGAGTTTGAGACCGATGCTTTAAATCAATAGCCAAGTCATGGGGTGAATGCAGTGTGTCGATAACTCCAGACTGCTAATTTGATTGTGTACATTAACACCTTTCCTACAGTTGAGTGTAATCGAAGATCACCATCCCCGCTGATATAAGGATACTTCCACTCCACTAGGTTAATGCACGCTCTGCGCACAGGATTATTGAGAGTCAGGCAGAAAAGTGCTCTTGGAGGTCTGCTGTTAGTGGTGCTTCCCTGTTTCTTGCTTTTGGCATATTGCTGGCGTTTCCTCTGGGCGAGCGAGCCGGCCGGAGCAGTGCTTGCAGCAGCAGAGAAGTTCATGGTTTTGGGGATGCCCTGAGACTGTCTGGCGGCATTAATCACGGCCTGCCAGGAGAGCGCGGCGGACTGGGCCGGCGAGTGATGGCTACCTGCTTGGAAGTTTCTAGTGATCCTGAAGACCTTGATTAGCTGATTCAGGTGTGTTTGATTAGGGTTGGAGCTAAACTGTGCAGAGCTGTGGCCCTCCAGGAATTGAGTTTGAGACCGATGCTTTAAATCAATAGCCAAGTCATGGGGTGAATGCAGTGTGTCGATAACTCCAGACTGCTAATTTGATTGTGTACATTAACACCTTTCCTACAGTTGAGTGTAATCGAAGATCACCATCCCCGCTGATATAAGGATACTTCCACTCCACTAGGTTAATGCACGCTCTGCGCACAGGATTATTGAGAGTCAGGCAGAAAAGTGCTCTTGGAGGTCTGCTGTTAGTGGTGCTTCCCTGTTTCTTGCTTTTGGCATATTGCTGGCGTTTCCTCTGGGCGAGCGAGCCGGCCGGAGCAGTGCTTGCAGCCGCAGAGAAGTTCATGGTTTTGGGGGTGCCCTGAGACTGTCTGGCTGCATTAATCGCGGCCTGCCAGGAGAGCGCGGCGGACTGGGCCGGCGAGTGATGGCTGGTGATTGACGGTGTTTCTGACCAGACAGGAGGAGCATCACTAGAGGCGGGAGCTCTGGTGCCACTGGCATAGTTTGCCCCTGAAAAACAGATAATAGAGGGAAAAATAATAATGAATAAATATATTTATATAAAATAGAAATTATATAAATATAAATATATACATTTAAATGCATGTAAATATTTTCAAAATATATATTGTATGAGTGTGTATTTATATACATAATAAATATACACAGTACATAACTTTTATTTTGGATGCGATTAATCGTTTGACAGCACTAATATATATATATATATATACACACACACACAAACATACAAAAAAAACATGTAGATAGAAGAGAAAAAGAATATAGCTAGAAAGCTAGTGTTAGAGTATTGTTTTTGTTTTTTTCTTTAAAGGGCTAGTTCACCCAAAAATTTAAATTCTGTCATTAATTACTCACCCTCAGGTCATTCCAAACCCATCTTCGGAACACAAATTAAGATATCTTGATGAAATCCAAGAGCTCTCTCTCTCCTTGCATAGACAACAAGGGTACTACCACGGTCAAGGCACAGAAACGTAGTAAGGACATCGTTAAAATAATCCATGTGACAATTTGTGTTCCGAAGATTAATTTGTGTTTAGATGAATGAAGGTCTTACTGGCTTGGAACGACATGAGGGTGAGTAATTAATGACAGAATTTTCATTTTTGGGTAATCTGTCCCTTTAAGAAAAAAAAATAGATAGACTGTTCGCGAGAGGCGGGAGCTCTGGTGCCACTGGCATAGTTTGCCCCTGAAAAACAGATAATAGAGGGAAAAATAATAATGAATAGTCTTTACATTTACATTTAGTCATTTAGCAGACGCTTTTATCCAAAGCAACTCACAAATGAGGACAATAGAACCAATCAAACCAACAAAAGAGCAATAAAATGCAAGTGCTATAACAAGTCTCAGTTAGCCTAATGCAGTGCACATAGCAAGTTTTTTTTATATATATATATACATATATATACAGTGTGTGTGTGTGTGTGTGTGTGTGTGTATATATACACTAATATATATATATATATATACACACACACACAAACATACAAAAAAAACATGTAGATAGAAGAGAAAAAGAATATAGCTAGAAAGCTAGTGTTAGAGTATTGTTTTTGTTTTTTTCTTTAAAGGGCTAGTTCACCCAAAAATTTAAATTCTGTCATTAATTACTCACCCTCAGGTCATTCCAAACCCATCTTCGGAACACAAATTAAGATATCTTGATGAAATCCAAGAGCTCTCTCTCTCCTTGCATAGACAACAAGGGTACTACCACGGTCAAGGCACAGAAACGTAGTAAGGACATCGTTAAAATAATCCATGTGACAATTTGTGTTCCGAAGATTAATTTGTGTTTAGATGAATGAAGGTCTTACTGGCTTGGAACGACATGAGGGTGAGTAATTAATGACAGAATTTTCATTTTTGGGTAATCTGTCCCTTTAAGAAAAAAAAATAGATAGACTGTATATTCATAAATATTTGTATTATTCATATATATTACAGTGCCACCCCCATCACAGACATCACTAGTCTGTTTTCACTTGTTATGTGATTGGTTGATGATGAATCACAGCTGGCAACAGGAGGAGTTCAGCACTGAGTGTAAAATCAAAACATGCTGAAGAAACCCGTACATCACTTTCAGTTTTTTGGCAAAACAAAATGAGGTATTTGACTCCAAAGCTGATTTTCTTTCTAAATGAAGGCAACATTCCTGGCTTTGTCCATGGCTGGCATTAGATGATCTGTAGTGGTTTTGTATGTTGGTTTTAAACACCTAGTTCACAACTGTCCTGAATTAGATTTTTTTTTATTTTATTTTTTGGTGAAATCTGCCCTCCAAACCAAAATTGTAATATACTGATATATTGAGTGTTTCCATAAGTAAGTAACTCTATTCTTGCATACTGAATAGCATTTAAAAGGAAGTGAAACATTGTACCATCAAATATCAACATCGATTGAATTATTTTACAATCCAGAGTCCAGAGCTCACACAGGTGTCCTTAAGGTGTAGTTCATCACATCATGTAGCCTATATATGAACAAGCACCACTAACCAGAAACAAAACAAAAAGTCATTCAATACAGGCCGTCTGCATTTTCAACACTATATCTATTTTTTAAAGCACTTCAAAACAAACAAACTTCTTTCTCTGTCAATTGTTTGGACATGACACTACAGATAGCCTACGTTTTGAGGCCACTACTTAATACGAATTGATTGTGTAAAGCAGCTTGTAATACTCTTGAATCAAACAATGTCAACGATGGACACTGTGTAGTGGTAATACTTCACAATAAGGTTCTACTGCATTAGGTATCTGATGATTTTACATATATGTCTTTCAGTTTATATTTTATTCGACATCTACTCAAACCTGTCACCATAATACTCGCGCATAAAGACTAGCATGATGTGCACTGAATTCTACACAACTTTAACACGGACATACTCTTCACTTTTAAATTCAGTGTCACCAGTTTAATTAAGCCCTTTTAATATCAAACGAATTCAATATGCAGAAACTCGTCCATAAGTCACATCTAGATGTTTGTGTTTACCTTCAGTCGGTTCCTCTGGCTCGTCCATCTCCTCCTCCACATTGAAAATGTTTCTATTATTTGCTATATTCCAGTTCGCGTGGCTACATTAAACCATCTTATCTATCATGTTTTGACTGGTGTGTATGCTGATGCTGATGTTGATGCTGATGCCTTGAGCTCCACGAGCGCATCTTCGCAACATCCGGGTGTCGAGGACGCGTTTCACTCCGCGATGAAGATTAAATCCACCGAGCGCCATTAGAAGCGATCACATCTAATGATGCCTCACTGCCATCCTCGAAGATCCCTAGAGCTCCAGACAGTCTAGCAGGAATGTTATTCTAATCGACACAGCGGACCACATTAGAGAAACCCGAGCACAGTTTTTCTTTTATCCCCACCCCCGCGCACTCGCTGCAGTTGTGCGTCTGTTTTAAATTAAGGCCGTGTTCGGGGAATATTTAATTACCTTTGCAGGACATCTAACAGGCTTTTTCAACAGGTCACCTAGCCTATCCCAGGCTTTTGACACTGAGTAATGTTGCTGATCTGTGTTTAGTTCAGACCTTGGCTTCATAAAGTCAAGGTGAGGCTATTTTAATTTTCAGATGAAAGTAAACTGAATATAAACTTTACCTCGTATTCCCAGTATGAACGCCATTCATCTCTCTCACTAAAGCAGCTCATTCGCTGAGTGCATGCTGTTTTCTGCTCGTTATTGCCATAAGTGTAAAGCACAGAGCGTATGCGAGTGTGGGGTTGGATTACCTGTTTGTAGCAGATAATCCCGCATAATAATCCTCTGACTCAAGCCTTCTGTGCTACTGAGCTATTCTAGAGCGGACGCGAATAAAGCGCACTCTAATATTTCATTAAAAACTGTTCTATCTGATTATGACCATGTTTTACCATAAACCATCTCAAATGCAGCTACTGTAGACAAAAGTCAAATAAGAAGTAGGCCCCATATTTTAGGCCATTTCCATATGCAATGCAAAATGAATTCATTTTAGTTTTTTTTTTCTTCGTAACCGTGCTTGGTTTGTTTTCATAGTTGTAATAGTTGTTTTTTTTACCTATTAAAAACGCGCGCGCGCACTAAATGTGCGTCTGTATGTAACGGCGACCTCTTGCGGTTTCTTAATAACATCACATTTTACATCGCACTTTCTCAACGCTATGCATCCCTAGTATTTATGAATCTGGGCCATCGAGCTCAAAGTCCATTAAAATAGCTCAGTAGATGGTTCATAAATCCAAGAAAATCCAACACTAATAACCACACGTGGGTGAAAGTGGCGGGGCGCTTTTTTAAACTGCTCAACAATTTCTTAATATATTAAGCAGTACTTTATGGAATTACATAAAATACTTTTTAGTGCACAATTATTTACATTAAGACAAAAAAGGTCCTGGATTATGCTTTATTTTGATAGTCCACTTTGTACATTCTATCTCTATGTCTGTCTATTCAACTATGCAACTACATGTTATTAGAGTGTTAGTACACTGTTAGGTTATAGGGTTAGAATAAGTTGACATACTTGCAAAATTATTTATATTCAGTAGAATTTCTGTTGGGGAACCATCAAAATAAAGCAGGGGTATTCGATTCTACAAGGTCCAGGCTCTATGCAGATTCCAGATTTTCAAATAGTTGTATCTCTGCCAAATATGGTCCTCTCCTAACAAACCATACATCAATGGAAAGCTTATTTATTCAGCTTTCAGATAATGTATACATCTCAATTTTAAAAAATTGACCCTTATGACTGGTTTTGTGCTCCAGGGTCACACATTTCCTTGCCAGCAGAGGTCCGGGTGATACTTTGTTTGAAATAGTTATAAATTCTGATGCACTGAAATGAAAATTCTGGGCCGAAAGCCGAAAGCCGAAAGCGAAAATGCTTTGTAATGATTATTTATTATTGTATTAAATAATATAAAGTAATTTTGTAAGAATTTTTAATTTAACTCAATAATTTTAATGATACTGAATTTAAAAAACACAAGCCAATAAAATAACCACTTTTACTGAAAGTAACAATAAAACTGGACAGAATTGATATTAATATTGGTAACACTTTACAATAAGGTTCATTAGTTAACATTCTGAATTAACATGAACTAACAGTGACTAACTGTATTCTCATTAACTAACATTAAGAAATATTAATAAATACTGTAATAAATGTATTGTTCATTGTTCGTTCATGTTAGTTAATACATTAACTAACATTAACTACTGGAACCTTATTGTAAAGTGTTACCTTAATATTAAATATCAATATAATATTTTTATTCACTTCTATGTAACAGAATCAGATATAAGTTTTTGTTTTGGACTAATTATCCAAATAATGTATAGTCCTACAAAGCTATTATTATCAGAGCATGTGAGCAGAGCAGTGTCACGTGAAGGTAGCATCATTTTACCAGGTTGTCCAGTACAGCTACAGCATGTTACAGCACAGTAGCGCTACTACAGGAACAAGTATACTGCATAGAAATGTCCTGTCAGCGCGTTATTTGAGCGGACTTTGCTTTTCCGGTGAGCATGTTCCGCACATACACAGAGCTGAATGTTGAGCGGAGCGTCAAGCCGCGCAGCGACGAGGAGAGTGAAACCTGCGCGCTGAACACTGCCGGGCTGGGCGCGCCATATAGGCTATATTATTATATGTATAATTTCGGCCGTTTTTCTCTTTCGGCAGAAAACCGAAAATGCCATTTTCGGCCGATAATTTTCGGCGGCCGAAAATTCAGTGCATCCCTAAAATTTTCATCTGGCCCCGTTTATGTTGTTTTACTACTTACACAATTATTTAAAGTATAAAACATTGTTATTTACAATGCACCGCCTGGTTTTTAATCAGATTTTTAGGGGGGACAACCCTTAGATGTTTTATGTAAACACACACACACACACACACACACACAAGTAGCCTACAGACACTTTCTCCATTTAATTATGACAGACACAGCAATGCATCATGTTTCAGATCATCATGTTTGTAGTGTGTTCCAGGGGATTAAAACGTACAATATATAAATAGGGTAGACAGTACATTTGGGACATGTGTACAGTTGAAACACCTTAAATAACTTGCGTGCAAAGGAACCCTGAGCCTGATTTTTGCTCCACACATGAGTATTAGCATTATTTTTGATCATGGAAAATTTGAAAAGGTGTGCGTCTTTCCACATTCCGCCTCTTGGGCTTCTATACTCTTGGGCCTGAGTGAGAACGGTTGCTCAACGGAACCATGAGCGAACCCTGGTCGAAGCACGGATATAAGAAAACGGCAACCGGAAGTGTTCGTCCTGGAATGAGTTCCGTGTAGGCACAGTGTAAAGATGGAGTGTGTGAATAAAGCGGGACAGCTCATGAGTCTGGCGGCTCTACAGCAGCATGACCCCTACATAGTGAACCTGCTGGACGTCGCCGGACAGGTCGCGCTCTATACTTTCAACTCCAAAGCAAACGAATGGGTGAGATTTCAAAACGCATCGCCATCATGAAATGATGAATATATAGTGCCTGCAACTATCCGCATGCATAGAGTACATGCACATGAAGCAATATATATTACATAGCCAATTTCAACTGCTTGATTGTGTATATCTTTGCCAAATGTTAACAATATTATATTGTTTAGCTCTAATCTGCTAAATGCGATTATAAAGCATGACAATATTAAGATATTATAAACATTAACATCATGATTTTCTGTAAAGCTGCTTTAAAACAATTTGTGTTGTAAAAAGAAAAAGTGCTATACAAATAAAATTGACTTCAACCTTTTGGATTTTTGGCTTAGTAAAACAGGTAATGTTCTCCAGTGATATTTTACTGTGACTCGCTGTAACTGTACACATGGTCACAGCACTCAAACTGTATTTGACTGCGTGTTTCTCTGTGTGTCAGTGGGCATCTACAGTGTCTGGTTCTACGATAAGGCCGACTGCCAGCGGATTGCACAGCTCATGCTACAGTGAGTATGGTATAATGCTGGTTGCCTGGTAACTAGTGTGCCGTGGCGGGCTGGTTGACAGTCACATGTGATGTGGACGGGTGAGCTCTAAAGTCTGCTCATTATAATGTCACTGTGAGTGCAACAGTCTATTTTGAATGAATGATGAATTTAACTAGAGAAGCCTGAATTGCTGCTGAATCTCTGTTGTCCCTGTAGTTAAACTTCAGTTGCTGTTCTGTGTGTGTAGGATAGTCAAACGGGAGGCGTTGCGAGCGTCTCCCGACAGAGGCCTGAGCGGCAGGACCAATGGTTGTGTTCAGCGCAGAGCCACAGATATCCTGGAGCTGCTCAGCAAGGCTAAAGAGGAGTATCAAAGGGTATGACCACCCTCACGGCTCATTTCACTTTCACAGCAAGATTGCTGCTCAAATTGAAAGCACCTAGACCTGGTTATTATTGTTATTATCCTCGTCATCTACTTTGGCTTGTCTTTTCCCAGTTTAGAGGGAGTGGTAATTTCACATAACACATTGTATCACAATATCAGTAAAAATACAATAGTAATTTAAGAATGTTGCTGTTGTATTTCGCGAATACGTGCATTTGCTAATAATAATACATATTTTCTCTCATGGGAATGCGTAGTGAAACTCTGAATTTGAGTTAGGATGCGCATGTAAGCTTACATGTATAAACAACTAGCCTACAACATGTCAAAATTGTAAAAAACCTTTTTTGTGTAAATATTTTGAACTGAGTTTAGACTACAGCCCTTGATAAGGTTTTATATCATCCATTAAATATTGTTCTTTATAGTATCATACATTTTTAGATGAGTGTAACCACGGGTAAACCATGCACTATATGACTTCTGACGATATGGTTTACACTTAAGTTTGTCCCTGTGTACTTTCCTTAATAATTTGAAATCCAGAAATGAAAATGAAAATGTGTAATTATTAATTATTATTAATTTATTCACCCTTGGACAAGTCTGACTTTTTTTCTTCAGTAGAACAGTAAAGAGGATTTTTAGCTGAAACCGTGCTCCTTGGATAAAATGCAAGTCAGTGGCTGCCCATTTTTGAGAGCTAAAAAGCATAAGGAACACAAAATTAATGATATATCGAGGTCTTATGAAGAGAAACAATCAGCTGTGCAAGAAACTGAACATTATTTACAACATTATTGCAATTATAAATCATTATAACTATCCCTTTAAGGCAAGAAACTACAGGCAAAAATGCACTGGTCAATATTGAGATTTTGAGTTTTTTCCTTTTTTTTTTTTTTTTTTTTTTTAAATAAAGGTGCTTCACGATGCCATAGAAGATCCCTTTTTGTCTAAATGGTTCCATTAAGAACCTTTAACATCTGAAGAACTTTTCTGTTTCACAAAAGGTTTTTTGTGGCGAAAGAAGGTTTTTCAGATTATAAAAAGCTAAGAAAGAGATGGTTCTTTAAAGAACCTTTGACTGAATGGTTCTTTGTGGAGCCAAAAATGGTTCTTCTTTGGCATCACTGTATGTATGTATTTGCATGGTTTACATTTAAAATGAGAAGTTTTCGTTTCAGCTGAGAAATGTTTGAGTAATTGTTAACAAAAGGGTTCATGTTTAATGCTTTGTCCTTGTTGTAACATTTTTTTAAGGAGGCACAAGTGGCAATTTAGTGTGATAATAGACACTGAATGAATGCTGGAATAACAGATAGGGTTTGTATTGTGTGTGTGTTTCTAGAATCAGTCATTTGAGAGAGATGTTCAGGTGAGCTCTGAAGCTGCGCCGTCACAGGAGAAGAGAGAGGAGGTCACAGCCGCTCAACACGAGAAGGTGCTGCTAATCACACTTCTACTAGATCTGTAAAAACTATTTTTGCTCTTCTATTATAGTCAATACTAATCATCTCCGCACAGTTGCAGCAAAGCCCTTGAGTTAAAGGGGTCATATGATGCTGCTAAAAAGAACATTATTTTGTGTATTTGGTGTAATGAAATGTGTTTATGCGGTTTAAAGTTAAAAAAACACATTATTTTCCACATACTGTACAGTATTGTTTCTCCTCTATGCCCCGCCTTTTTGAAACGCGTCGATTTTTACAAAACTAATCGGTCTGAAAAGCGAGGTGTGCTCTGATTGGCCAACTATCCAGTGCGTTGTGATTGGCCGAATACCTCAAGCCTGAGACGGAAATGTTACGCCCCTCACCATACTGTTGATGCCGTGTCCGGCCGGAGCGACAAGACATAAACACTTTTATAAAGAATATCTCTTTGGATTTGAGACTTTAGTCTTTGCAACTTTACAGATCTTCTTTATGCACCAAGAGCTTGTAACACTCCAAAGAGAAAGGAAAAAATGAAATCGCATCATATGACCCCTTTAAGAAAAAACAAAGTTTTAAGGGTTAGGCTTAGGGTTAGAAACCCTCTGTTAAGGACATTACCGTCGTCATGAAGTGTTTTCCCTTAAAAAGCAGGTCCCTTGAGACATTTGCTAAACTCATAAGTCAATGAATAAAAAGAATGTCAGCTTGCGTGGTTTGCTCACAGATTTAGTCACAGCGAAAGACTGCGTGAAAGAAAACAGACTAGCTGTGTTACATTTATTTAAGCAGAGTACCTCACATGAGATCGTTAAACTCCAACTTAAATATTTGCATCAGTGCTTTTTCCATAATGTAGAGACATGGTTGCCAGATTGGGAAGATTCTGTCAAACACTGGGCATAAAAAGAATAAATTTATGGGAAAAAATAAAATGCTTCTCTGGCAGCTGCAACCAAAAAAAGCTTGTGGAGGTTTGTTAACAATACTAGATAACACAAATTCCAAATTAAAATGAAATGTTTTTAGGGTGAATAACCAGCGGGCAAATTTCACAGACAATTATGCTTATTAAATCAAGAGAAGCCGAAATCACAATGAAAATAAAAATATGCGCAGATGTAACTGAACTGAACACTGAACTAACTTGAGCTAAATAATGAGATGCATGTCTTTTAGAGTCTCCATAGCTGAGTTTCCATTGATTGTTCTTTTTCTGTTTGTCACTGTGAAGCTGCTTTGGCAGTCTGTATTATATGAATTGCTATAGAAAGGTGACTGTAAGTACACTGAACAAAATTATAAACGCAACACTTGCACTAACCCTAACCCTTGCTCACGAACACAGATTTAGACAGATTTGTGAACAATATTTGAGAGAAATAGGCCTTTTGTGTACATAGAAAAAGTCTTAGATCTTTGAGTTCAGCTCATGAAAAATGGCAAAAACATGTGTTTTTATAAACGTGTTGCGTTTATAATTTTGTTCAGTATATAATGCTTAATCTTTGCCAGAAAGGCTATTCCAAAAAGGCATTATTGAAAAGATGATTAGTTTTGTAGCTTTGCTACTGTCAGAAAGTGAGCTTGATTTGCAACACACACGTGACGTCACGGTGTGTGATCGACCCATGAAGAAATAAGTGACATGCATCTGTTTTTGTTTCCTCTCCACAGTCCGGTCACTCAGTAGTGAAGCAGATCACAGTGGAAGAGCTTTTTGGCAGCTCTTTACCCAAAGAAGTGCCCCAGTCAACAAGCTCCACTGTGGGAGAAAGCAAGCGTGGGCCTGCGTTTGTTCACTCGGTGGAGCCTCTCCTCGCTCCTCGCCTCTCTGCTGACCCAGGAGGCACGGCGCTGGTCTCTCTCTTTCAGGGTTGTGGCACCCGAGACCCAAGACCGGCTGCTTTAAATACGGAGGAGAGTGGGAGCAGGTCCACCAGTCAGTCTGTGCGTCGAGGTTCGGCTGGTCCACTTCCTCCTGCGTATATGAATCCTCCCACAGATGGGTATGGGCTGCCCGGGTTCATGCCCGGCCCGCTGGTCACCCCACAGAGCTTCAGAGAATCCGCCTGCAAAGGTCCAGGGCCCTTCACGGGAAAGGCTGCATTGTCGGCACAGGTGAATACACCGAGCAGTGTTTTCATGGTATGTATTTTTTAATGCAAGTGCAGAAATGATTGACGAAATGACACATTGTTTCCTGCAGTACAGGAGTGGGAATCTTTATGCACCTCAAAATATGTTCTGATTCGAACTGATGTACCTGTGGTTATGGGCGATCGGTGTGAATGTCACTAGTAATGTCAAAACTCTTTTAAAAGAAAAGACAAAACAAGGTAAAAAAAAAAAAAAAAAAAGGACAAATATCCGTAACTAATAAGAGTGTAAAAATACACCCATTACAGGGTTTGGTACAATACACAATAGTGATCTCCCAAATCAGAACTCTCAGGATACAACAAGGCCAAAATAATGATGGAAAGTGTCTTATTAGTATTTTTATTATTACTTTTAAGACATTAAAAAGTTAAAGGGGTCGTGAACTGAGAAACCAAATTTCCCTTGGTCTTTTGACATATAAGAGGTCATTGTACTGTAAAAACATTCTGTAAGTTTCAGAACTTAAAACTTTGTTGTTAGTCTAAAAACAGCTTATATTGAAGGCAGTCTGCTAAAACAACAGCTTGTGGAATATTCTACTCTGATGTAATAGTGTGGATAAGCGCCGCCTCCACAGAAGATCGACGTCACTGGTTAGCCCCGCCCACCGATTCTACATCACTCTGTTTAGCCCCGCCCACCGATTCTACATCACTATATGGTTAGCCCCGCCCACCGATTCTACATCACTGTCTTTAGCCCCGCCCACCGATTCTACACATCACTCTGTTTAGCCCCGCCCACCGATTCTACA